ATAGCAATATAAGGGTCAAGGCAGAATGTCACAAATTTGTTGTCCTGTGCATGCTCAGTCTAAGATTCTATCTGCACAGCACCATGACAACCAGTTAGAAAGAGAAAAATTTAGTTAATCTGGCAGTTATTTTAGCTGCATGAAGCCAAACAACTGGTTTCAATCTTATTTTCTTCTGCTTCATTGCGTTGATGAGATTCAACCCATAGTTCTGACATCATGTATGTGACCTAAATCACATTCTTTTACATTCTGGAAATGGCTTTAATTGAGTATTTAATGGAGTATTTGCTCTGTTCAAAAGACCTCTCTTGCATGTCTGTGTGAGAAGAATTGTAATCTGGTGATTATGTGTGCTGAGAGAGGTTTTTTTTTTTTTTCTTTTTTTTGACAGGCAGAGTTAGACAGTGAGAGAGAGAGAGAGAGACAGAGAGAAAGGTCTTCCTTCCATTGGTTCACTCCCCAAATAGCCACTACGGCTGGCACACTGCACCTATCCGAAGCCAGGAGCCAGGTGCTTCCTCCTGGTATCCCATGCGGGTACAGGGCCCAAGCACTTGGGCCATCCTCCACTGTCTTCCAGGGCCACAGCAGAGAGCTGGACTGGAAGAGGAGCAACCAGGACAGAATCCAGCACCCTAACTGGGACTGGAACCCGGTGTGCTGGCGCCACGGGCGGAGGATTAGCCTAGTGAGCTGCAGCGGTGGCGGGAAAGGTTCTTCTTTAAATATTTTTCCTGTAGTTGGATGAAGATGGGTGATGACTTTGGATCAATGAAAGACTACGTTGATGATGTCTGTTTATTTCTTGCCACAAATTCTACCCTGATCTCCCCATGACTGTATGCTTCAAGGGTACTTCACAAAGTTTGGGAAAAAATGCAATTAAAAGTTACTCATTTTCCACAAAGTTTTTGAAGTATCTTCTATGTATTGTTTTGGGTAAGAATAGCTGTTCTGAAGTTAAAGAGACAACTGAGTCAGTCTAAGAGGAGAGTCTTGTCAGTAAGTCATTTCATGTTTTTAAATGTCTTTTTAAAATAATTTAATTGTTATAAGGAAGCAAGGAAATATTTGCAAAATAAGCACAGTGTATTATAAATATGCAGTAACAATGGCTATTTGCATTTTTTCTGTGCTTATACCTACAGTCTTAGCATGTAGACCATGTACACAAATCTCATTTTCTTAATGACGTGTCTTCATAATCAAAACTTTTAAAAAGCTCTCCTAGTCCAAGGGAAGTGGAAGTTGCTAATAATGTCAATTTTTCAATGGAAGGAATGCCAATGTACCTTTCTGATGCTGGAGAATTTAATTCCAAGGATAATTCCACTTGGATCTTGTAACCTTGGTGGAAGAACAGACAAGAGATGGCTCCTAGAGACGGAGTAAGGAACGACAAGACAGTTTTCTCTCCACAGTTCTCCAGGATTTGGTGGCAATGACAAATGGCAACTCAAAGGAGTTTTCCAAACGCCTCTTTAAAGCAAGCTGAACAGTTCCTGTTTGATTTAGCTGTTTATTGTCATTCTTACATGAGAAGAAAGAAATGCTTGGCAAGAGGAAACTTCAGCATGCTGCCAAAAAGGAGCTTCCAGAGTCAGTGTCACTGGGCAGTCGTTCAGTCCACCAGGGAACATCATTTAAACTCAGCTTGAATAGTCCCATTTTTTGACAAGCTACATCTCTGATAACAGCTCTTTAGATTGTACATGGGTTTTAGGTGCATTTATATTATAATTGTTTTAACTTTTTATTTTGAAATAATTTCAGTCTCAGAGAAAAGTTGCAAAAATAGCCTACAAATTCCCTTTACTTTAATCCCACAATAACATTGCACATAACTGCAAACAATTGGGATGTTATTAACTCAATAACTGTTACAAAACTTGAAATATTTTTGGCAAAACTATTTTTCCTTCTTTTTAAATCCTATGTGTGGATAGAATGTGTATTTTCTTTTTATTTATGAATGTGGAAATTGAGAGAGAAGTCACAGGGCTAGTCAGAGTTCAGGTCCTTTATTCAAAGCTTACTATTTTCTGGTAAGAGTTGGGACATGCTCAGGCTGACTTGCCCCAAGTGGTGGAGTTGGAAGCATACCAGGGGATTCCAATTCAATCCCATCAAGGTGGCATGTACCAATGCCATCTCACTGTTCCAGGTGATCAGTTTCAGTTCACAGTTGGTCATGGTGGAGGGACTGGGAGTCAAAGGGAGCACATAGACAAGTCTAGTACCTGCTAACGCTAACCGATGGAGTAAATAAAGGGGAGAGTGATCCAACATGGGGAGTGAGATACTCAGCAGACTCATACAATGGCAGATGTCCTAAACAGCACTCTGGCCTCAGAATCAGCCCTAAAGGCATTCGGAGCTGGCTGAAAAGCTCATGAGAGTATTTCAGGCATGGAAAGCCAAGACACTCTGGCAAAAGATCTCTGCGAGTGAGATCCCAGTGGAAAGAACAGGTCATCAAAGAAGGAGGTACGTTTCTCTGAAGGGAGGAGAGAACCTCCACTTTGACTATGACCTTGTCTAAACAAGATAAGAGTCGGAGAACTCAGAGGGCTTCCATAGCCTTGGAAACTCATGACTGGAGCATAGGGAGATTACTGATGCCATAGACAGGAGTGTCAATTGGTAAAGTCAACAACAGGAGTCACTGTGCACTTACTCCTCATGTAGGATCTCTATCCTTAATGTGCTGTACATTGAGATTTAATGCTATAACGAGTACTCAAACAATATATTTCACTTTGTGTTTCTATGGGGGTGCAAACTGTTGAAATCCTTACTTAATGCATACTAAACTGATCCTCTGTAAAAAAAAAAAAAAGAAATTATCAATTCCCAACTTGACTCTCACTGGGATTAAACATGACAATAGGTCTGCTCTGATTTCATCATCATTTAAAAAAAAATAATCTATTATTTTCACTTTATGTTTCTGTGTGGGAGCAAACTGTTGAAATCCATACTTGATGTATACTAAGCTGATCTTCTGTATATTAAGATAATCAAAAATGAATCTTGATGTGAATGGAAGGGGAGAGGGAGTGGGAAAGGGGAGGGTTGTGGGTGGGAGGGACGGTATGGGGGGGAAGCCATTGTAATGCATAAGTCGTACTTTGGAAATTTATATGCATTAAATAAAAGTTTAAAAAAAATCAAAAAAAAATGCAAATGTTCAGAGTAGAGTAGAAGAAATCATTATGTATGTATATGTAAACGTATATCTATGTAAATATAAAATGAATCATTATTTTGATTATTGATTAGTTAATAATAAGGTGCTGAATGTATTCATTCTCATTCTTCCCTCATATTTAGTCTACTCTTTCTCCCCCAAATATCTTCAGAACTAATTTCTTACTTCAATACCATTACTGCTACCTGCAATTCAGATGGTTCTGATTACTTACCTGTATTTTTACAAAAATAAATTACTATTAATCTTCCTGCCAGAGTCATTTTTCTAAGCCACAGAGCGAATTACATCATTCTTCTGTTTAAATTCCTTCATTGACTTCTTGTATATAACCCACTTATTTCTGAGTATGATATATGGTATTTAGCATCCATCATCTCCTTTAGTCCACAAACTATATGGAATAGGCTTTTTATCATTACCTTGGATTTGTAGGTTAATGAATTGAGATCATTTAGTAGCTAAAATTTGAATTTAGGATTCTAGAGATGATGAGACCATCCAACCTAAAGGAGTAAAGTCCATATTCCCAAGCCAGTCAGTTAATATCCAGGCTTGGCTTTAGATATATTTATAGCAATTTGCTTCCTTAGCTCTACCTCACTTCTGTTGTACCTGCTTTATTTATGCCACCATGCCTGTTCATGTACAGGACTTCTCTGTCTGAAATGTTGGGCCCAGTTTTTTCTATTTGGTAAGATCTAGTCCAATTCACAGAGGCACACTAGGGTAGGAAGGGAGGTATTGGTGGGAGCAGTTTACCTGGGTGCAGGCAGTAGTGAGTTCATTTTGTGGAGAGTGCATAGTCAATGTAGTCTGTAGAGAGTTAACATCCCAATGACTAAAAGTCATCTGCTTTTTATTAGCACCTTGTACCAGCAGTTGTAAAGAACGTCAATGACAAAAGACTCCTTTCTGTGTGAGATTACAGCTGTCCCTCCCCATACTACCTCCTGAAGACTTATCATCACCTTGCTTCTGTAGTGTTTAGTGTGGGTCCATATTGGATTTACTATCACATCGAATTACACCTACTTAACTGTCTATTCCTCTCCCAGACTATGTATTCCTTGAGGACAATTATGATATTTTAGACCTTCGAATTCTCAGTGCTGAGCAAAAGGCCTAGATGGATGTTTCTATGAATGAGTTAAAAAAAATCCCAGAATTTTCCTCTTTATATCCTTTTCTGGAAGAATTTTTTATTATTGATGAGTATGTATACCTTTCTGCTCTGAAGAAATTGTTGAAGGAATATCTAGTGTTTTAAAATTACAGAATTGCATGTTATAACCAATGATTTAAAAATTGTATAAAGCCATTTTCAAAAATAAAATCAGGATACCTGGGCCGGCGCCGCCATAGCTCAATAGGCTAATCCTCCGCCTGTGGTGCCGGCACACCGGGTTCTAGTCCCGGTCTGGGCGTCGGATTCTGTCCCAGTTGCTCCTCTTCCAGTCCAGCTCTCTGCTGTGGCCTGGGAAGGCAGTGGAGGATGGCCTAAGTGCTTGGGCCCTGCACCTGCATGGGACACTAGGAGAAGCACCTGGCTCCTGGCTTTGGATCAGCGTGGTGCGCTGGCCGTAGCAGCCATTGGGGGGGTGAACCAACGGAAAAAAGGAAGACCTTTCTCTCTGTCTCTCTCTTTCACTGTCCATTCTGCCTGTCAAAAAAATAAAAATAAAAAAAATCAGGATATCTGAAGAATTTAGGAGGCCTTTTGTTGCATAGCATTAAAGTAACATATTCTATGGGACGTTTGGTAGCATCATAATTGTGAATCCACAGCTTTGTGCAGTGGCAGTATCTTAGCCAATGAGGTTTACCCAAAGCATGATTATTGCTAATTGAAAACTTAATTGTGAACACCAACTTTGGAGCTCAATATACTGCATTCAAAGATAGTGATTATGGGTAATTTCTTTTGGAGTATTATCTCTAGAACTTAATATTCTCATGTGTAAAGTGAATACTGTGAAGAATAAGTGGATAAACACAAACTGGCACATAAAATTACTGATAACCATCAATTCTTAAAATTTTGCCTAATTATGAATATTTCAGAGATGTATATGGCATAGTTCATTTTAGATAATACTAAAGTAATCTTAATTACAAAACATTTTTTATGAGATCCAGAAGGAAAATACAAGCTCAGAGTAGAGAATTTTCCATAGGCATTACCCTGATTTTGGTTCACTGAAAAGTAAACTTTGACACTGAATGGCATAACAGCATGATGACACCTATGAGCTAAATTCTATGTTGACAACGGCTTGAAACTCAAAGGATAAAAACATCAAATATTTTGGCATAAATGTCACCTTATTTATATAACATAAAATTATTATTTGAAATGACCATAGTAGAAACCATATTAATTGTTGTGATTACTGTTGGCCAAGAAATTTGTCAGTAAGTTGAAAAGAGCTTCATGAAGACAACATGTACATATTTTATGTCTATTTTAAATATTTTTGTCATTTTTCAATCTGTTGATGAGAAATCCATGCCTTTCTTTTGAGTATAGGTGCACTGACTGAAATGCTCAATAACATTTCTTTTTTTTAAAATTTTATTTAATAAATATAAATTTCCAAAGTACAATTCTTGGATTATAGTAATTTTCCCCCCATAACCTCCCTCCCACCCACAACCATCCCATCTCACGCTCCCTCTCCCATCCCAGTCACACCAAGATTCATTTTCAATTATCTTAATATACAGAAGATCAATTTAGTATATACTAAGTAAAGATTTCAACAGTTTGCACCCACACAGAAACACAAAGTATAAAGTACTGTTTGAGTACTAGTTATACTGTTAATTCACATAGTATGACACATTAAGGACAGAGATCCTACATGGGGAGTAAGTGCACAGTGACTCCTGTTGTTGACTTAACAAATTGACACTCTTATTTATGGTGTCAGTAATCACCCGAGGCTCTTATCATGAGCTGCCAAGGCTATGGAAGCCTCTTGAGTTCACCAACTCTGATCTTATTTAGACAAGGCTATAGTCAAAGTGGAAGTTCTCTCCTCCCTTCAGAGAAAGGTACCTCCTTCTTTGATGGCCTGTTCTTTCCACTGGGATCTCACTCACAGAGATCTTTCATTTAGGTCATTTTTTTTTTTTTTGCCAGAGTGTCTTGGCTTTCCATGCCTGAAATACTCTCATGGACTTTTCAGCTGGATCCACATGCCTTAAGGGCTGATTATGAGGCCAGAGTGCTGTTTAGGACATCTGCCTTTCTGAGTCTACTGTGTATCCTGCTTCCCACGTTGGATGGTTCTCTCCTTTTTAATTCTATCAGTTAGTGTTAGCAGACACTAGTCTTGTTTATATGTTCCCTTTGACTCTTAATCCTATCTTTCTTATATAAACCATACCCACAATGCATTGTCTGCTATTTCTATTGGTTTCTGTTTATTAAAAGCAGTGTCAGCTAGTTAAGAGTTAGGATCTAGTGTCTGAAAGGAATATTGCTCTATATTTTAAGACTATTTTCTTTTTTTCTTTTTTTTTATTTTTTATTTTTTGACAGGCAGAGTGGACAGTGAGAGAGAGAGAGAGACAGAGAGAAAGGTCTTCCTTTGCCGTTGGTTCACCCTCCAATGGCCGCCACGGCCGGCGCGCTGCGGCCGGCGCGCCGCGGCCGGCGCACCGCGCTGATCCGATGGCAGGAGCCAGGAGCCAGGTGCTTTTCCTGGTCTCCCATGGGGTGCAGGGCCCAAGCACCTGGGCCATCCTCCACTGCACTCCCTGGCCACAGCAGAGGGCTGGCCTGGAAGAGAGGCAACCGGGACAGAATGTGGCGCCCCGACCGGGACTAGAACCCGGTGTGCTGGCGCCTCAAGGCGGAGGATTAGCCTAGTGAGCCGCGGCGCCAGCCAGTGATTTTCTTTTAAATTTGTGCTTTTATTAACTCTTTCTGAAGTATTGAACTAAATTTTCATAGAAACCCAAAACTTTCTTTTCACACTCGTATTTCATCAGAGTACATTTAATTGTGTAATTCTCCTAGCAACTAAATTGTCCTAAACTCACTTGAGAAAATATAAGCAACTCATTATAAGCATAAAACCTTTGTATAGGCATTCTACAGAATAAACTACTTATCATAATAGTCCAGTGTAACACCAGTCAGATGTCTTACAGAGAAAGTGGAGACCATGGCTCAGTTAGAAGGACTACTTAAGTGGAAATGGTTAGGAGCATCAGGTGAATTTCATCTTGAGAGCTAAGCTCCGTTCTATGAACTGAATTTTGCTAATTAGAAATGCTGTGGGATTCTGAGCTTTTGACCCTTAGAATGTTTTTAATCTTTTATAAGCTTGTTGTTAGATTATTTCAAGGCAGTTCAATTTAAGATGTTGCTTGGTGTTTGAATTTTATCTTTTGCCAACCAATTTCTCCTTTCATGATCTTCTCTAATCCATGTGCCCCAATAAAATACTAGTTTAATTTTAAAACTTGAGATAAATGAAGGGACTGGACAGTCATATCCCATGGAAACAGTGTCTGCCAAATACTTGCTGAGGAAAAATGCCAGTAATGTCCTAATGCTCAGCTGTGCACTCATAGCCTTAAATCCTTGCTAAGCAGTCAAGCTTTCAGAATACTTCCTGACACTAATTTGATGTAGAAAGTTTTAATGTTCACAGAAAACTGATCTTTCATCAACTAATATAAGCCTTTTTTTTGCCTCCTGTTAGTACAAATATTTTTTAAATAGATCTAATTTAATGTTCTTTGTTTAGTCTAGAATCTCACCTTTCAAAGGATTATGAAATAAATGTGTTATATATATGGGAGATAAAAAGAACTCTGACATTTGAAAATCTTGGTATATAGCTAATCTGATAAATTCTGAACTCCTGCTGACGTTGATGAGAGTGAAGTGCACAAGCAAGGAGTTAGAGTTCACGTTTGAAGTATTTTGAAATTTGGACATGTCTCTGAGAGGGCTATCTAAACTTTAGATACCAGCCTCTTCTTGAGCTGTTTGGCTGGGAAAGATAAAATTTGCATGACCCCCTGTAGTGTCATAGATTAGATTGGTTGAAGTTTACAGATTTCTTTCTTACTTTCCAGTATTTTGAAAACAGGAAAATTTTATGTTAAATAGTGAAACACAGGATGCCATTGTAGTTATATTGTTACATGACAGCAAATGGCAAGAGCTAAGCAACAGCTGCCTGGCAGAAAGAACTTCCCCCTTCTAATTCCCTCTTGTTCCCTTGACTTCCATCTTGACATGTGGCCTTTCATTTCTGTTATCTGCTGACTCCTGTAGGCGGGTGAATTTGCAATCCTTCTCATGGACTTTGCTTCTTGATATGCTTCGTGTACAAAGATATATTGATCTAGAGGATTAGGTTCTTCCTGTGTAATGAGTTGTTCCCCCTGCTGTCAGGCTGTTGCACTGTTCCTTAATCTGCAAATACTTAAAGAAGAAGATACTTCCCAAGATATTAAGAATTCAAGTCTAGCCAGACTTTAAAGTGTACAACTTTAATGTGGATGCAACATCTTGCAAATACCGTTTTAGATGACTGTTTCCCCAAACTCAAGGCATATGTGGTCATTTACCTTTTGGTGGTCGCTACTAACTCCTACGCAGGAGTATGATTTTTCAGGTTGCATGTGAATTGCACTCTAATTTCTTAGAGATGGTACTGAAGCATGAGGGGAAACCCAGAATTGACTCTCAATTTTTTGTCCTGATTTCCTGAAATATCTGAGCTGATCGCCCTTGGCCAGCATCTTTGTCTCTAAGAATTGTTGATGATTGGTTCCCCAGTGGTTTAACATAAGGAACGGTATGATTGAATATCATCCTGGAAGGAAAGAGAGTTCAAAGACAAAGACACAGCAATGATGATGGAGAGATTGCAGGAAGTGTAGAAAGTAGGATCAGGCCATGGGTGCCACAGGAAAGATACATCTGAGGACAAGAAGAGTAGAAGTGAAGGTAGTAACTAGAAAAATCAATAAAAAAAGAAGAGCTTCTGGGTTGCTGTTTTTATTTCACTGTTTTATTGGGAGTTCACTTCTACTAGACATGAAATGTGTGACCGATTTTGGTTCCTGGTATTGTATAGGCTGAACAGAAAAAAAATACCTTTTTTAAAAAAAATTATATCCCATTTTATTCATTTTTAAAAAGGTTTATTTATTTGAAAGTCAGAGAAAGATGGAGAGACAGAAAGAGAGAGAGAGAGAGAGAGAGAGAGAGAGAGAGAGAAAGAAACAGAGTGAGAGAGATCTTCTGTTCACTGGCTCACTCCCCAGATGGGTGCATCTACCAGTGCTGGACCATGCTGAAGCCAGTAGACAGGGGTTTCATCTAGGTCTCCTATGATGGGGACAGGGGTCCAAACACTTGGGCCAACTTCCACAGCTGTTCCTAGACCATTAGTAGGGAGATGGATCATAAGTGAAGCAGCTGGAACATGAACTGGTGCCCATATAGGATGTTACCATTACAGGTGGTGGCTTTACCGGCTATGCCACAATGCTGGCCCTGAAAATAAAATGATTTCTTATGAAGTATACTTTTACTTTGAGTTACTTAGAACACTTCACACATTCTCAAGGTTTTATTTTTAGTCATTAGTAAATGCAAGATAAATTGGCTAACAGAGTCTTATACTTTCATAGCTTCTTAATCCTTTACATTCTGTTAGTCTGCAGATCAGTTGATCTATCTATGGAAATGCCAATATTAACAAAGGCATTTCTTGTCCTCTATCTATAGGCTGGTCCCTGGAAACTTTGATGAGCATCTGTGAAGAAATCACAAAAAAAGAAATTTAAACATGAAAAATGATGGGAAATTGGATTATAGTTTGATTAGAGAAAGGACAACTTATTTGGCCAAATAACCAACTTTTAAAATATTGATATAAATAAAATGTTTTTATA